GCAGATGGGAACAATCTGACTTCGTCCAGTACTCTGAGCCTCACCGTGGCAAACCTGATCCAATCTTTTCATTTCATTTTCATTAGGACAAATAGACTTTACTAATGGCTATTTTTTCTGTTCTAATGTGGTGACAGGGCTGTCAAACAAACATTTCGGGGAATGTGTCAATTCAGATAAAAATTATGTGTAAATATTTCCTGGTGTTTTCCAGTCAGTGAAATATTTTGTTATTATATTAATTTTCTTCGCAATCTATTTGGGTCTAAAAGACCTAAGTGTGTCTATGTTTTTACATTTTTATATGCGGTGAAGGTTGTTGTCTAAGGCACGGCTACACGAGGGCAGTGCTGTGAGCTAAGCTAGAGTGTGGGTTTGAAGCACGCCATCTATTCAGCGTTCTCCTTCAGTAAATGCCTGCTACCCTTTCCTTCCATGCTTTCCACCTGCATTTGCTGTAGGACAGCATTGTGTGTGCAGCCAGGTAGTGCAGATAAGTTGATGTGCCCCAGCACTGCAGTCTAGCTTTGCAACAACTCATTTTCTGTAACTGTACTGTAAACTTTCCCGCTTACGGAGGAGATACCCTACGCAGCAGGCAGATCCCACTGGGGCTGAGCAGATACTCTTGAGCACATCAGTTTTGTACTTAGGAGAGCACAATATTCTATTAACTTATTTTCCCCCCTGTAAGAACAGGCTTTGGGACTTACACTTAAACTTCTGTGACAGACGGTCAGTACTCTTACATAATACTCTGAGGGAGGTGAGGAGTGATATGATATCTATAGCAAAGCAGCAATGCCTGGGGACCCTGGGGGATCCCAGACATCACTTCCTGGCTTTACATTCATGATTGCTCATGAGGTGCCGTGTTCAGTGCCAGGGCTGAGATCTTGTCCTTTGCAATGTCTCACAGGTCTGTTGAGGGAACTGAAGTAAGTACCAGGTACTATGAGTTTGGTGCTGTAAAACCTTTTTGGTTTCTCAGAATAATTCTGTGCCTATTAGTTTGGCTTATGTAGGTGATTTACAAGCTTAAAGAGTGCTGCTGCCCTTTTTCACCTTTGATTATTTCATTAGAGAGGAAATTAATGATGGCCAAGAATTTCTTTGGCACAAGAAGTTTGGCAACTTCAGGTATGTTTGGCAATGTCCTTGCTTATAGAGCCAAGCCCAGTGGTCTTTTCAGACATCAGCTTATCCAATATCTTTGTGGGGTTTTTGTCATTAATGGTTTTTTGGACAGCATTAAGTTTAATGATGAAACTCAAAAAGACTGTTTCATCCCTACTGCCTGTGCTTTGGCAGGACTCCAAGGAAAGTTTTAATTCTTCTTTATATTTATTCCAAAGGGAGAGCGGCTTCCATGCCTATCAGTGTGCCGTAGCCTCTCACCTCTGCCATAGCAATAGTTAGAAATTGCTACTAGTGATGTTCATGAAAGCCTTTAAAAATTGAGTTATTCAATGGGAAGATCACTGAACTTCCAAAACCATTCACTGTCAATATCAGTTAACTAAAGGAAACACTAGACATTTTTCATTGATTCTCAAGGTATTTTAGGACCTTTATTCAATCCAGTCAGAAATGCTGGCCAACCTGTGAGAAAGCAAAGCCACAGAGAAAACTCATAATACAAATCACTGGTAGAATCAACAGCAGGATTCGTCTCCCGTGGCCTGGCCCAAAGTGTGGGATGTACGCAGGTTATAAAAAAGCAGCGTGGGATTAACATAGGCTTCTTAATACTTGTGTATTACTTTGAGGTAAGGTGTGAAATGCTGACGGTGCAATTCAGTGTCCTGGATTGCAGAATGATCTCCAGGCAGTTGGAAATACCACTGATATATTGGCAGCTCAGACACAACTGAGATGTTCTTGTAAAGTCGCATGTGCAGATTCAGTACTTAAAATTTTTGCAACAGCATCTTTTGTAAGGACCAGATCAAAGACCAACTGGTATCGCTGAGCAGGAACTCAAAATCTATGATTATAATTCAAAGTAATATGATAAAATATTCTGACAAAAGCATACGCTGCCAGGATTGCTTGAAGGTAGAACTTGATGTATCAGTCAATTACAATTAGAGCATGCCAACACAAATCCAGCAGATTTCTTTGCTCCCTTACACCTTCTTTGCTTTACTTGGCTAAGTGGTAGAACATAAGGATCTACACTTGATGTGCTCTGACCCAAACATTAACAGGAGTGATAATGCCTCAGAAGAAGAAAGAGGTAAGCAGGAATATTATTTTAATATAAAATCTCAGCACGGTGGTTTTTTTTGGCCATAACTATGAGAACACTATGGCCAGACTTACACTCAGAGAAAACTGGGTCTGGAAAGGACCTCAGAAGCTCATCTAGGCCATCCTCCTAAAGTTCATGCCTGATTCAACTTGGCCTAGATTGTTCCAGCTCATTTAAGTAATCTGCGCTGAAGCATCTCTGATGTTGAAGACCTCACATGACCTCACCTGCCTTTCCAGGCAGTCTCTTCTACTGTTCTCACTGTTAGAAAGTTTTTTCCTGAAGTCCAGCACTTTTGTGCTGCAATTTTCTTTCTTGTCCTCCCTACTTCAAACTGACCTTACTATAACACTGGAGGGGAAGTGGGAGAAATACATGAAATGATTTTGGGGGTAGACAAAGCACTTTGTGTGGGTGCAGCTTTTTCTGGCAAAGCTGAGTTTTTGCAGGTACCATTTCTGTCTCTCTGAGAGACCAGAAGGGTCTCTTCCAGCTAAAAACTGAACAAATTGGCACAGCTGTCCTTGCAAACCACTGCTAGGACAAATCTGACCTAAGTACACATTCAGGTAGTGTCAAGGCTCTGTATTTTTGGCTTCATACAAACATTAATCTGTATTTAATTTGAGAGAAGTTCTGGGCTGATGTCCCAGAAGACGTGAGAGTGGCAGGTCCCTTTTGCATGAGTCCTTTCATTGGATCAATGGTCCTGGGACTGTACTGAGTGGTATTTTAAGTTAAAATGCGTTAAGATTATAAATATTGATTAAATGATAAAGCATGTGTGACACCATATCATGGGGAAGATATGCTGACCAGAGACACTGAGGCAGAAGCAAATTGTTGTCATATAAATTTTTACAGAGGATGTTCCTGGCCAGCCCCACATCCATCAGGATTTGGGAGAACTGAAGTTAACCTTCCTGCTGTGAATGCCACATGTCCCCCGTCTCTTCAGTTCTGGCTGAAGGGATTTCTAGGCAGCACTGATGGGGGTGTATAGCTAGTTACACATCGTGAAGACTTAGCAAAAAGGCCATTTTAACTCATGATTCTTGTTACTGCAGTTCAGTGGCTGGCAGAAGTCTTCGTGTCTGTGTCCGCATCTGCTTGTTTCGTGTAATGGCTCACAGAGTTTCAGATGTTTATATTTCAAAGCAAGATGCTTATATTTCTTCTTCACCCTGCCCGTTATATGTGGGCAGAAACATTCCCTCTTCTGTGGGCTTTCAAAAGCACTTTGTATCTGGTTATCCTTGTGTCCAGATAGAGAATAAAGAATGCCCTAAGGCATGTAGGGTGATGCCCATTACACTGACACCAGGGGTATGTATTTGCCTTTCTCACACTAGTCTGAGCCGAACCCATTAAAATATAATGATGTGCGTATACACAATCTTGCAGTAGCTGCTGAGATATGCTCATGTTTTCTGAGTCCTCATATTATGGTCTCAGCATGTGATGTTTGTGCTGTACTAGTCCACATTTTCCTGCTCTTTTTTTAAATGCTGAGAAATGTTTCTAAAGATGTTAATGTTTTTGAGAGCTCACGTACTTTCATTATTCAGCTGGGCCAACCTTTGGGTTATGACTCAAATGGTTCTGAAGCTATGTTGATGGAAAAAATCATGGACTTGCTTTTGTCCTCTCCCTAGAGTGTACGCTATCACCACAGCAGAGAACTGGAAACTGACAGCTC